CATATTTTGATGGTGTTATCGGACATTGAGTTTAATCCGTGTTTTCTTTTCTTCAGAAGGACCTACGTACTGTGGGCCATCTGCTGCGGACGTCGCTGCCGCTGGCCCTCCGGACGTCTGTATTGAAGGAGGTCACAGCTACCCAAGACCTGAATGACCCTCAACGCGTCCTATCCCTCATCCTGCTGCACCTGCTCACAGATGTTGCACATATTGGCCTCACAGCTGGGATCAACACAGGCAGATATCTACAGCTGCAAGAGGAAGATTGTAAGCAACTGCTTGAAGAGCTGGAGCTAGAAGATGTGCAAACATTGAGCCTGGAGAGCCTACAGCTGGAAGGAGTATGGATGGAGGGTGAGTTCCTCTCACAAATTCTGCGACGGTCTCCGAATATCCGCTCTATCCAGGTTTCTGGAGACCTTTGTAGGGAAGTACTAAATTACCTGCAAGAAAACCCCTGTAACCTCCGCTCCCTGCACCTCAACAGCTGTACCGTGACAGACGAACATCTCGTGAAGGCTCTGGTCGGAACAGGTACCGACTTCTGTACATTAGGCAACATCATATGTTCCGGTGGAGACGTCACAAAAACAGAGACTGTAGCACACAAGTCGTTGAGAAGTTTGTCTGTCCAGTCGCCTATCCTCTCTGTGTGTGGTGCCATGGTACTGCTACACTCACTACGAGAACTCCGTCACATACAGTACATCTGCTGGAGTGCTCCCATCAGCGACACTCTACTACTCCTTCAGAAAGTTTGTCCTCAGTATTCAGCGTTCGCTCTCTCTTCCATGGATCTCTTCAGGCCATCGAAAGCAACATTTGAGAGCTTGGTAGCCTTGTGTTCAAGACTGCGCGAACTTTCTATTGAATATCATGAAACAGATGTCACCTCCCTAGATGCCCTCTCAAGATTCTCCAAACTTTCTAAGTTGACCTTAAGGATGGTTTCAGAGGAACTTATTGTGTCGGCAGTCAAAGCGTTAGGCCGTAATCTAATGGAATTGAAAATCGAGTTCGAGGATTACACCTTCCAGCCCATCTCCCTGGAGACGGTAAAGACCATCCAAGAACATTGTCCTCACCTCCAGACTCTCGAGATGCTTCACGTTAACATAGAGGCAAATCCCAGCGAACGTTTGCTTCCTGTGAAGAAAATTCTTCTTCCAGAGTTGAAAAAATTCACTCTACAGAGTTCCTTGATCCAGCCTCCTCTTCTGGAGCGGCTGGTCCGAGGCAACAGCTCCCTGGAGAACTTGTTGCTGGACGTAAACCAGGACGCCCTCACAGACCAGGTCGTGGCGTCTTTGTTGAGAAACAACGACCTCCAACACCTGAACACTATCTACCTGGGTGCTGGGTCAATCTCCTCGTGGGCCATCACGTCGCTGGTGGCTCTCCCGTCCCTCTCCAGGTTATCTCTCGTCCTCAAGCGTTTTCCATTCATCCCCATGTCCACCATAAGCTCCCTCGAGGACAACCTTGTCATGGGCAACTACTGCTGTATTCTAGAAAACGTCATGCAAGAAGATTAAGGCAGGGATTCTAGAACAAATGATTTATTGTACAGTTGGCCTCTGTCATTATCTGACGTGGACCTCTTGTATATACCTTGTAAACAATGGATTTATGATGTTAATTTATTGATCTAGTATTAGTATTGTTAATGAATTTTGTACCAATAAATTTTGTTCATGTATGCATAATTGTTTTTCCTGCAAATCCTAATATGAAGCGTGTCTCAAGTGCAACTAAGACGCTCACGGTAGATGCCAACTGCAAGTTCTATAATTTAAATACAAAAAATAGGCATCCAAGATAACATATATAGACCATCAATATATATAAGAGAACGGACTCTTAACAGTCACCACAATAAATCCTTCCTTCCAAAGTAACAAAGTAACCATAACAATGAAAACATAAACAATATATAAAAGAGAACTCTGCTCCTCGGGCCAACAGTGACTTGTAGTGACCTCCACACTCTCACTCTTTCAATTACAGTTAAATACATAAGTTACATATAAGTTACTTAATAAAATTTATAGTGAGAGGTGACTGAGTGAAGCACAGGTAAGTAGTACCATCACAGACACACACAACGTGATAATAGATAATAACTTATAATTAATTAGACTCCTTCCAATACTTATCAAACTTCTCTGTACAGAACTATGCTCGGTTAACTAAGACTCTCATCCCTTCCTTTACAAACGATATTAATTCGTGAATATTTCAAATTGCCTCAGCAAGGTGGATACCCTCCCTGTAATGGCCCCTGTCTCATCAACAGAAGTATTATATAAATGGGTTATTTACATCTGATTTATATTCAGATTCATCCCCTGTAACTTTCCACTGGCTATGAGGTGACATGTTCAATGCACGTGATAAGGTGTGCCCACGGGAAGCTACATCATACTATGCTGAGCAAAGGCATAAGTAGTTATCTAAGAATCAATCCACTTACTATAATGTTAATAAAGGTAAGTCTGATGGTGTAGCCACAGATCACATACAGTACATCGGAACAACAACCATTACTTATTTCTTATTACTTTTATCTCTCGTTAACTCATAATTCTCTGGTTAAGTTTCATTGCAATCGGTTGACAGTGACAACATATCACTCCAGAAGCCTATGGAAGATTCCTATCATCAAGCAGTAATAGGTAAACTTTGACAAACGGTGGACCGAATCATCGTTGGGTGAAGCTTCGGGGCGGAGAGATAACCATGTGAATCAAGTTTGAAAAGTATTAACAATAGGCGCGAGTAAAAGTTGTGAAATGTGCCAATGTGATCTGTGTGTGTAAAGCTTATGGGTGTCAGAGTGCCTGCGTCTCCATCATTATTGTAAAGTTTTAAACACTAATTAATCAACTTTAGTTAACCTTGATCGAAAATTTGACTTTATTTGTTTTCATCCCAAGAAGAAGGTGTGTTCATAGGTACAGCCTAGGTAATTACCCCTCAATAAAGAAAGGTATAACTGTATTTATGTTACCGATAAGTCTCCTTCAATTACGTTAGGTTTCTTCTAAGAGGCAAACGTGTAATTTGTTCAGATCGCTGGTATTAAAAGTTCAATTAAGTAAATCAAACGTGTACATAGTGATCAGTTCCAGATGATAAACTGCTGTCCGGGTAGAATATATATGCAAGGCGGATGAGGTTTATATACGGATCGAAAGGGATTCTCAACGCAAGATAGACGGAATCTCTCTGCGAGCCTAACGTTGTGATAGTCGATAGAAGGGTCAGTAGAGAATGATTTACTTAGTATATTACGCAACACACACACACACACACACAGACCCTCCCCACACACGTCCCTAGCCACACACACACACACACACACCACACAGACCCTCCCCACACACGTCCCTAGCCACACACACACACACACACACACACACACACACAGACCCTCCCCACACACGTCCCTAGCCACACACACACACACACACACACACACACACACACACGCACACACACACACCTACGTCAGAAAAATAATCCGTTTAATCAGTTCTCGAGGCTCAGTGTCATGTTATAATTGAGATTCTGAGCCATAGATCACACGAGATTCATCTTGGCTTGACCTTCTCTCTTCTATTTTATATCGTCTGTGTATCTGTCTGTCTGCCTGTATTGTTTTCTTCTTGCTTGTCTTTATCTCTCTCTCCCTTCTTATCTTACACTACCAAACATCCTGTCTCCGTTTCTTTATCTGTGTTTACCTGCTTGTCTTTCTTAACCTAACCTAACCTCACCTAACCTAACCTTTTTTTTGATAAAGTTTTGTTCTGTATTAATAACCAAAGAGTTATAACAATAGAATAACAAAACACTATCTCTCTTCCTTTAACATTCCCTTGCGTGTTAAAGTTCAGCTGGACGATTATTCCTTAAGCATATAGTAAATTATAACAGGGTTCATGAAGGATAATTTATGGGTAAATGTTTTTCCTGTTGTGTAATTACGTTCAAATTTATATATTTTTTTCCTTTGCAAAAATGTATTCAGAAAGATTGTCACACATGTAATATGTCTGACACGATTCCTCAATCACGGGAGTCTTAATTCTTAGAAAAAGATTACCAAAGAGGTATAATTTCAGTTCTGGTGACGAAATTTAACTTAAGTCATCACAGCATCGATGGGATCACAGACACCGTCTTCAGTTAAGGGTCATAGTCTGTCTCCTTACATCATCAATAAAGAACACCAAGTGAATAACCTTAATGCCTCCAGAGTTCACAATTCAGCTTTCTACTACCAAGTGACATTCACATACCAATAAAATAAAAGATAAGAAAAATATTCTCGAGAGCTCAGATGAAAACCTCAAACGACTACATTAAAAACCTCACTTACTAGAACGATACGTAGAATCTAACGTCATTTAAAGAGCGAACTGAGCTTCATTAGTCGTGTCTGGTTGTAAGCATCAGGGATTAGAGAATAGTAACTCCCGTCTTGCACGTTAATGGGCGCTGGGTAAACTTTCTCGCATATTTACTCAGAGGGTCACGCAGTCTGATAATTTACCAGGTTGGGGTTAACGTATAATAATTGGCTTTGTTTTGAACATTACTTAGTTTGTCTTGATGCAGGAGTCACAGCTTCATGTTCTGTGATTAAACACATTTTCGTCACATGAGGTTCGAACCCAACCATACCTACCGCAGTGTGTGTGTGTGTGTGTGTGTGTACTCGGGTGTGCTCTGAATATGTTAATGTTGTGTTTAATGCTGGTTACCTACACCACCCACTGTGAACTGTTAGTATCGAGACAAACAAACAGATACAATATTATATTTACCAGCAGTTTCAAAGATCTTGGTTTACTTGATTATGTTTTGGTATTTTGCCCAGAAGTGATTCAGTACCACATCTCTGAAGTTACAATAGACGTATGTGAAAAAGTTTAATTTTAAAAATGCTTATACAATAGTAGCAAAAAAATATGTACAAATAATACAATTAATAGGATAAATAATTTTTTATTTAGGACTAATAAATAGGTACAAATATAATAAATACTTATCTAACACTAATTGGACAGGTAAGACAAAAGATGAACTTCATAAAATATACAAAGTCGCGGTGCTAGTCTTCTTGTAGGACATTTTCCAGAATACAGCAGTAATTGTCCTTGACAAGAACGTCCTCGTACGTACTGAAGGTAGACGTGGGGATGAATGGAAAACGCTTGAAGACGAGAGATAACCTGGAGAGGGACGGGAGAGCCACCAGCGACGTGATGGACCACGGGGAGATTGACCCAGCACCCAGGTAGATAGTGTTCAGGTGTTGGAGGTCGTTGTTTCTCAACAAAGACGCCACGACCTGGTCTGTGAGGGCGTCCTGGTTTACGTCCAGCAACAAGTTCTCCAGGGAGCTGTTGCCTCGGACCAGCCGCTCCAGAAGAGGAGGCTGGATCAAGGAACTCTGTAGAGTGAATTTTTTCAACTCTGGAAGAAGAATTTTCTTCACAGGAAGCAAACGTTCGCTGGGATTTGCCTCTATGTTAACGTGAAGCATCTCGAGAGTCTGGAGGTGAGGACAATGTTCTTGGATGGTCTTTACCGTCTCCAGGGAGATGGGCTGGAAGGTGTAATCCTCGAACTCGATTTTCAGTTCCAGTAGATTAAGGCCTAACGCTTTGACTGCCGACACAATAAGTTCCTCTGAAACCATCCTTAAGGTCAACTTAGAAAGCCTGGGAAATCTTGAGAGGGCGTCTAGGGAGGTGAGATCTGAGTTATGACATTCTATCATGATTTCGTATAGTCTTGGACACAAAGTTAACAGGTTCTGGATTGTTTCCTTCGATGGCCTGAAGAGATCAATGGAAGAGAGAGCGAACGCTGAATACTGAGGACAAACTTTCTGAAGGAGTAGTAGAGTGTCGCTGATGGGAGCACTCCAGCAGATGTACTGTATGTGACGGAGTTCTCGTAGTGAGTGTAGCAGTACCATGGCACCACACACAGAGAGGATAGGCGACTGGACAGACAAACTTCTCAACGACTTGTGCGCTACAGTCTCTGTTTTTGTGACGTCTCCACCGGAACATATGATGTTGCCTAATGTACAGAAGTCGGTACCTGTTCCGACCAGAGCCTTCACGAGATGTTCGTCTGTCACGGTACAGCTGTTGAGGTGCAGAGAACGGAGGTTACAGGGGTTTTCTTGCAGGTAATTTAATACTTCCCTACAAAGGTCTCCAGAAACCTGGATAGAGCGGATATTCGGAGACCGTCGCAGAATTTGTGAGAGGAACTCACCCTCCATCCATACTCCTTCCAGCTGTAGGCTCTCCAGGCTCAATGTTTGCACATCTTCTAGCTCCAGCTCTTCAAGCAGTTGCTTACAATCTTCCTCTTGCAGCTGTAGATATCTGCCTGTGTTGATCCCAGCTGTGAGACCAATGTGTACAACATCTGTGAGCAGGTGCAGCAGGATGAGGGATAGGACGCGTTGAGGGTCATTCAGGTCTTGGGTAGCTGTGACCTCCTTCATTACAGACGTCCGGAGGGCCAGCGGCAGCGACGTCCGCAGCAGATGGCCCACAGTACGTAGGTCCTTCTGAAGAAAAGAAAACACGGGTTTAGTTCAACGTTCGAAGGTGTTTACTATGAAGCACTTATGCAACAGAGGTACTATGGATATTCCTTTTCATTTTAATGTGACGATTAACTTTTTTATACTTAATGAGAGATAAAACGCAGATAGAAAAGGATAGAGAGAGATTTGGGGAAAGAGACAGAAAAGTTACGATACTATGGAGCAGAGACAGAAAAGGACAAAAAATAAAAATAATAATTAATGATCAGAAAGAGAATAAGGAAGACTATTGTAAGGTAAGAGAGTGATCAGTGGCGGTGTTTACCTTGCACTGAAGAAGGGTGTCAGAGGCTGTGCGGGAGACGACACGAGCCACGCTGGTCTGACTCAAGTCACGAAGACTCAGAGGCTCCTTGCGAGACGCTACACCTTGCCAATTACCTGGAGGAGAAGCATAGAGATAGGACTCTTCACTAACGACACATTTTTGGGCTACCTACAAATGCACTTCTTTCCACGTTCATTTATCTTAGATCAAAAGAAAGTTTTTGGAATTTGAAAGTTGGTGGACGGACTGTACAGAAACTTACAGCAAACTACATCGTTGGTGATGTTTACATGAGCCTCGTCTCTCATCTTGCTCGAATAAGAACTTGGCTAAAGTTTCGAATCACAAGTCGTATATCGAGCTGTGACTCTTGAATGTCACCCCGTTCAATTACTAGGTGTGTGTATGTTCTCTGATCGTCGCCTTGGGGCTTATATGGATCCCAAAGCAGAGTGGGTGGAGTTAGAGCCCTAGTGGGAGGAGTCACAGTGCAAGAGGGCGGACCTGTTAACCAAAATATATAATAGTCATAATGTATTGATTAATTGGACAAATTTACATAACAGATCGATATTTCTCTCGTAATCCCTAGTTATGAATTTTTAGTGTATGGGACAGAGCTATTGAAGCGCAGTGATAATTTATATACTTTAACAAGAACAACATATTTGGGCTTAAATTACTACATAGGTTTAAAGCTTTCGAACTGTATTTCATGTATAAAATTACCGATAGGCCTCCACCTTAAAAACCTGCTATCATCTTTAAAAATCTACCTGAAGACACCTTATAAATACATGGTAATTCCCTTTGAAAACCTACTTGTATATTCCTTAAAAAAAAACAATTACTTGCAGTCGCCTTAAATATCATCACTTCCCTTAAACATCTACCTGTAATTACCATAAAAAAACTAATTAGTGTGTACCTTAAAATTTGACTTATGATCTCCTTAAGCCCTCACTTGTGTTTCCTTTGAAAATTTAACCTAACCTAACCTAACCTAACCTAACGTAAAAACGACACAAAATCACATATAAACCTCCAATTAACAAAACACTCATACATATATACCTGGCTCCTCTTAATAATCTTACCTGTTGTAGCCCTAAATACAAGTAAAATAATAATACTAACCATATCCACCTTACCCCACCTTAATCTTTATCTGTGTATAATTCCTTATCTCTGTCATCAACATTATCAAATTCTCTCTTATCGCCCCTGACCTCCCTCTATATACAGCACAGTATATATAAGAAAATGACCTTTGATTCAGGTATAGGAGAAAACTGTGTACTGTGGAATTATATAATTATATAATGTGAAGTGTGTAGTATCTCCTCACGGATCTATTAATTTATATTCCAAAGTTCTATTGTGTGATTCATTCTCAAGTTCTCCCATTCCTGACGAGGTTTATTCTGGAAAGGTGTATATAGTAAGAGAATTTATTCCGTGGTGTCGAGGTGTAATCGTTATATGTTCCATAGCCATACTGTTAATACTCTACATCACTTAATGTCTCGAGACTTTTAATTGATCTGTATAATAAGAACGATTACATAAACTTAATGCAAACTGTAAACGAATAACAATAAGTACTACTCTACGTAATTTTACCCAATTTAATCTTATTTAACTTCATTTAGGACAAGTCTACTGTACATACAAAATAGTGAAGATAAGAAAGGGTGTCTTATGGAAACGAATTAATCTTACCAAATTAACACAACATAAGGGAGTTACATCTATAGAAACAAAAAACTATCTGATACGTATATAGTAGCCAAGTTAAAAACACCTGGTACAGCTTCTCCTGGCGTTGAGTACCTAAGGCTTCATATGACGTAACCACAAGTACTCTACACTTGACCTTTCAACATGCATCATATCTTTATCTCCTCTCCTTATACCAAATATATTGAGTGTGGTTAGGTTCAACACACACACACACACACACACACACACACACACACACACACACACTACTACTACTACTACTACTACTTTGCTGTCACTAGGAATCGAGTATGAAGATCATCCAACTATGAGGTGACTAAAGAGGCCGATACGGGACCCGCAGGGCCGTCCACATTCGTTGCACATGTGGAGGGCTGCATCTAGTGCGGGAGAGGCGGTGGCAGCGTCTTTCCGACGTTGGCACTTTTCTGCCTCGGTTTGCAGTCGGGCTAACTCGAAAGTATTGACACCTCCTCGTGTGGTGCTCCTCCAAGCGTTACGATGTGGAGTAATCGACTCCCAGGTGAGGGGGTCGATTTGGCACTTTTTCAGGTTTGTCTTAAGACTATCCTTATACCTTTTCAATTGCCCGCCGGCGTTACGTTTACTATTCGTTAGGTGACTGTAAAGTAGCTGCTTTGGCAGTCTACTATCGTCCATGCAGGTAACATGGCCAGTCCAGTGTAGTTGTTCATGGATAATAGTAGCCTCGATGCTCCTACAGTTGGTGTCAGCAAGAATACTGGCACGTCTTTTCTTCTCTGAAGAAGTCACTCGTCTCTTAAACGCTGGCAGACGCACCTCCCAATACCTCGTCTCTTTACCTAAGTCACGGTCAACGCAGGTTACATGATCTTGGTGTTGCCCTCTTATAAGTCCTGTATGCTGGTTAGGAAGTCAAGAGTCATCCATTGCTGCTGATAGAATGACAGTCCAAACGCCAATACACTTTAACATGAGACAGGCAGGCAGACGACAGACAGAAGGAGAGAGAGAGACAGAGTGTGTTGGGGGGGTGAGAGCGAGAAAGTGACACAGTGAGAATGAAAGAATAGGTGTGTGTGTGTGTGTGTGTGTGTGTAAGAAAGAGAAGAAAGTGAACGAAGTAGATAGGGAATGGATGTAATGGATCGAGAAAGCAGCATAGAAAAGAAATAAGGCAAAGAAAAAATATAGAGATCACGTGAGAGAGAGAGAGAGAGAGAGTCGCGTGTATACATGTCAAATAAAGAGAAACAGAATATTAAGGTAATTAATATAAGACTCAATCATCGGCAGGATCAGTGTGGGTGATCTCTAAACCACCCATCACCTTATTAGTCACGGTTCCCTGCATAACTTCACGTCTGCTGGTGATCTCTGGCAGGTGGGGAGTGTAGGTGCTGGTGATGATAATGATGGAGACATGGAGCAAATAATAATGGAAGTAGTGATAATGTAATATAATGACTATGGGAATAATGTTAAGGTTTGGGATAATTATGTTGATATAATGTAATAGAGTAATCATATAAGTCGTAATATAATGATGGTAGGAGTAAATATAATGAAAATAATGTATACCTGGCATTACAGGAGGTCTTAGGAGGAGAGGAGTAAGCTCATTGTCTCTCATCCATAATACTCCTTTAGCACATCATAACAGTGGTCAGCTCATGGACTGTTTACGTGTGTATGGCAACTATACCTACGACGATCCCAGACGCCTCCACTATATCCAATATCATCCTCAGTCTATCTAGATCTTTAATGATAAATAATGAGAAATAGCTTTTATCAAATGAACAAAACTTAACATATTATAGTACAGCAATATGTTTTTTTATTCTTCAAAAGTGTTCATTCAGCATATAATCAGGGTTGTGATGTGTGGCCCGGAGGTTTAGACCATAGAAGGAGGAAAAGTAACTGTTTATACGTTTCCCTCAGGGCCTCCCATACACCCTCACCATAGAGTAAGCAGACGTGGCCTCTCAGTTGTTCTCAGGGCTGGGAGTGTGTGAGGCAGGCTGAGAGAATGGGAATATACAGTAATGACACTCAAGTCGCATTTATATATTCGTTCGAGATGAAGTTAAATATATCAAAAGTGAATAGTAAATAGAGTTAGTTGTAGAGTTTATGAATGGCGAAACAAAACGTAAAAATCAAATATTGAAGAAAGTTACTTAATGGTGACACAGGAGTGATTTATTTAACACAAATGGATACCTCTATTCTATTCTTTTATTACAGTGATAAACAGGAACTGGAGAAAGTCATTATTTTTTTCTCGGAACTCAGAAGTAACTTTATATGATAATTCTGATCTATAGAATAATTATGCATACTAAATTATCGTGAATATGAGAAACCAACGGAATCTCACTAAATCTTTGACTTCAGCTGCGGCAACATTAATCCTAATTGCTCTTATCACCACGTTATTATATGATATTCCAAAAGTGAAACACAAACACGTCATCGCAGTTGCAATCAACACTCAACACCATCAACACACCCAAGCAACAAACCACACAGGTGAAGAGGGAGGACGAGACGTGTGGGTCCCTCACCTGTGTCCTCATTACAAGGTTATCAGGCGGGACGAACGCTCTACCTCCCTGAAGCCCACACAAGCCACTCTCTCTCAGGATGCTATCTTCTTTATCCAGACCTCTTGCCACACTGCCCTCACACGTCGAGAGGTACTGTACTTGTAGCAGGTTGTTGTTGTTGTTTTCCTTGTGATAGATGAAATTGTGTTGTTATAGACAGGTGGATGTATTAGTGGATACATAAATCATTGTTTGGAAGATGAAATGTGTGTGGAAGAGGTGTAGGGAAGGCGCTGTATAATGGAGAGATGGGTTTGTATGGAGTAAGGAAATGTGTGGATGACAAATTGAGATGAATTATGAATTCTGGGGTAGAGTTGTATATGTGTGTTCATTAAGGTGGTTTGGTAGGTGTCAGGGCCTGCTGGGTATGTATCAAGACCTACGGGGTATGTGTCAGGACCTACTGGGTATGTGTCAGGATTTGCTGGGTATGTGTCAGGACCTACTGGGTATGTGTCAGGGCCTGCTGGGTATGTATCAAGACCTACGGGGTATGTGTCAGGACCTACTGGGTATGTGTCAGGACCTACTGGGTATGTGTCAGGACCTACTGGGTATGTGTCAGGGCCTACTGGGTATGTGTCAGGACCTACTGGGTATGTGTCAGGACCTACTGGGTATGTGTCAGGACCTACTGGGTATGTGTCAGGACCTACTGGGTATGTGTCAGTTGCTGGGTAGGATTTGCTGGGTATGTGTCAGGACCTACTGGGTATGTGTCAGGACCTGGGTATGTGTCAGGGCCTGCTGGGTATGTATCAAGACCTACGGGGTATGTGTCAGGACCTACTGGGTATGTGTCAGGATTTGCTGGGTATGTGTCAGGACCTACTGGGTATGTGTCAGGGCCTGCTGGGTATGTATCAAGACCTACGGGGTATGTGTCAGGACCTACTGGGTATGTGTCAGGACCTACTGGGTATGTGTCAGGACCTACTGGGTATGTGTCAGGGCCTGCTGGGTATGTGTCAGGACCTACTGGGTGTGTCAGGACCTGGGTATGTCAGACCTGGGTACCCTGGGTATGTGTCAGGACCTACTGGGTATGTGTCAGGATTTGCTGGGTATGTGTCAGGACCTGGGGTATGTGTCAGGACCTACTGGGTATGTGTCAGGATTTGCTGGGTATGTGTCAGGACCTACTGGGTATGTGTCAGGACCTACTGGGTATGTGTCAGGATTTGCTGGGTATGTGTCAGGACCTACTGGGTATGTGTCAGGACCTACTGGGTATGTGTCAGGGCCTGCTGGGTATGTATCAAGACCTACGGGGTATGTGTCAGGACCTACTGGGTATGTGTCAGAATTTGCTGGGTATGTGTCAGGACCTACTGGGTATGTGTCAGGACCTACTGGGTATGTGTCAGGGCCTGCTGGGTATGTATCAAGACCTACGGGGTATGTGTCAGGACCTACTGGGTATGTGTCAGGATTTGCTGGGTATGTGTCAGGACCTACTGGCTATGTGTCAGGACCTACTGGGTATGTGTCAGGACCTGCTGGGTATAATTTGATGCTCAGTTGGATGTGACACGTTTTCTTTCTCGCCCAACCAAACTAAGGCTTGTGCCGTGGAAAGCGCCGCCCACCACCACCCACACCGCCCAATCTTTGTCTTTATGACGTATCCTGCCATCAACCACACCCACCCTCTCATCCAGGTGAGTTTAACATATCGGCTCATCCAGAGAAATTATAGGCAATCATCCATTTACCCATATGAGTTCACACACATTCTTCATCCATCTGTTAAATGAACGTACTGTACGTATGCAATGTGTGCTTCCCAAGTAGACAAGTTTATATTTTAAGAGGCAAATACCCAAACAGAACCGCATCAAAACAAAACCAAAATCACACTTATACACAGCCCTCATACGCCCACTACTGACATACGCACTCAACACACTCCAGTTAGCAGCACCAACCAACACCAAGAAACAACAAATCCTAAAGAATAAATCACTACAGTTCACACACAACACACACTGGACATCCTTCACCACAAATGAATACCTACATAAACACAACTCTATTCCACCTTTCAACATCTACTGGAGACAATTAGGTGACAAATAGATAGACAAACTCCTAACCACACCCACAATGGCAGGAATACTTGGACGTCATTATACTTCCATGCAGATATAAAAACAGGAACTCATCCATATTCCACAGACCCAATACACCATCTCCCCGAAACTAGACGTTATATGTTCGTGATCAGTCAGTTACATCAACGTCATCCAGGACAGAACATTTTACACCACACAGGCCCACTCATAACACAACATCACTAAACTGCAACTACAACTCCCACATCCTACATCCACCACTCACTAAAACTCAATTCTACACTTCTTTCCCTCAATCTCTCCCAACTACCTTTAACTATATTCTCTTCCTTCTAAACTGATCGAATAATTTGACCTTTACAATCAGATTCAACATTCCTTCCACCTCCACCTACACCACTCAGTTCCATTCTCTGACATAAAATCCCAGAGATATATTCCACACTTTCTCTTTAAAAAAATATTCGACGATACGATTATCCTTCCACGCTATGAGTATTTTGATATTTCAGAAACTAATCTAACTTTTTTTTTAAATGAACGAAATTTATTTTGAGAGATGTTGTCAAGTATGAGATAATTTGTTCAGCCTTTTAAATAAACTTTCCAGGTGTTGTCAAGACTGAGTAACGTGCGGCTGGCCTGGTTGAACCTGGACCAAGTGTTCGCTGATGAGCCCCTGAGAACGTGGCATCGAGAACGTCTATGGATGATGAATGAGAGTGAGTAAAGGGGAGGGAGAGAGAGAGAGAGAGAGAGAGAGAGAGAGAGAGAGAGAGAGAGAGAGAGAGAATTGGTTTACGTAAGGTAGGGACGATTTCACTCATTCGTCTTGAAAGTTGTGAAATGTGACCTGTGCCTGGGTGGGTTAATCCCTGCAAAAAAAAGCTACTTATATTTATTGCCTCATAACAAATACGCTACCTAGGAGGGTTAGATTAGGTTAGGTTAGGTTAGGTTAGGTTAGCGGTAGGGTGGTCAATCTGAAGGTGACATGGGCTTGGTGTGAGGAAGCTAATCTTCACGAAATCTCACCATTGTACCCTGAATTCACTGTTCCTCGATTGAAATTCGAATCCAGGTGCACTGAGTCAGCAGCTCTGTGTTTTCATTGTTTCTCTATGAACTTCAGCCATTAGTAATCCTGTATTGTTCAGATCGCATGTCGACGGTGGTTAGCGACGCGGCTAGGGTGGAGTTACTGCGACGGTATGGAGGAACCTATCTGGATCTGGACGCTCTCACCCTCCGCCCGCTGCCCAACACTACCAACTACCTCGCCAGGATTCACGATCGTCTAGTTAGCAACGCCATTATCAGCGTCACATCTGGACACCCGCTTATGAAAGTAAGACCCAGTTGGTGATAATTATTAGACAGGTGTAGAAACCTTAACTATTTCAATTTAGCAGATGAGCTGAGCCTAACAGTGTCTTCTATAATAATAAAATTATCCGTTTGTCTGCCTGTTCCAGCCATAACTCCAAAGCTGAAGCCGTATTTTCTTAGTAAAAACTTTCTATAATTCAACACTAAGAGTCATGGTTGTGTTGGCAGATGGTGGCAGACAACATCCCCTCAGTGTTTGACGCAACCAGCTGCTGCAGCATCGGGCCGGAGCTTATTACACGACAGCTCCACCGTCTGTGTCCCGATAACGTCACCATCCCGGCCTCCGTCGGTCCCAATGAGACTGAAACCTGCGGTGACGTCACCATCTGGCCCAGCAAGATGTTTATTCCTATCCACTACGGCTACTTAAGACACCAGCTGCAGAGTATGTTCAGGGAAGGTGAGGGACTGGGCCCGACCTTTATCAGGAACACCGAGGCTTTCTCCCTCCATCTGTTCAATTCTGTCTCACACAGGAGATCCGTGAGCCTTGATGAAGACTCCATCCTGAAGGAGGTCGCCATAAGAAACTGTCCTCGAATAGTGGAACTACTCAGAAAGTACAGGACCCACCTGTAGTCGCTTCAGTAGATTTCTTGGTGATGAAAGTGTTCTCCAGAAACAAAGGGACAACCTCTAGTGGTTCTTATAGGAATTTAACCTAATTGATGTAGGTCCCTGTAAACAAAGTTCCTTAAGTGGTGAAGATGTCTAAGAGGTAACTGATCAGCCTTTAGAGGACTCTAATAGGTAACGTTAACGTGTGATGAAACATATGAAGAGGCAGAGACCACCCACTTGTAGTGATTTGTAATAAGATCAACTGCTTGTTGAAGTTTATCAAACAGCTAGTGACTTCAAACAGAAGTTTCCCACAGGTGCTAAAGATTCTCAAGGCACTGAGTCAATCTGACGTTGCCACCACAAAGAATTGCCTTTGATGCTGTAGATTCTTTAGAAGTTTAAAACCTATTGTGGTGGATTTAAAGAACTTAGTTCATGAAACTCATAGATACAGTTTACAGAATAAAGACAAAGTATAACACACATACATTCATTGTTATTATACAGGAATGTATTAACTTATTTAACAATGAAGACATGTAAAGTACAGAATATAAAGTATTATCCTACACTATAAACAAATTTAATTTTCCCTTCATTCGCTCACACAAATATTCACCTTGATACTGTCACAGATGTGTTCTATTATGGCGTTAATTCCTCCTTCCACAACATCATCATAAATTATCCCTTCGCTTTACACCTGTTGCTTCCTATGCTGCGGTTTGTAAGAAAGTACAACAATTAAAAATTTAACATGTTTATGAAGAATGATTATGTTTCATACAAAAAGAAATAATCTGTAGAAAATTATAAATTAAAGAAATATAATGAAATAATTATCATAACAAAACTGAGACTGTATTAATTATGAGTATATGTGAACTGAAACGCTAGCCATTAAAGGAACACAGACGTGACCGAGAAGAAAGAGCCTCAGGGCCTTTGTTTAAGATCATTATCATGGACACCAGACGTGTTTGGGTCTGCCTCTCAGTGTATGTATTGTGAGTGTGGTAGGAAACCCTCATGCTATGGTAAGCTAAATACTTTGTTTAGTTACTTAGTTTTTTAGTTATTTACTGCATATATACCGAAGATCAAAAGCCATTATATACCAACAGATATACCAATGTGACGCATCGACTAAACTAACAAGGGTCAAGACGTACCTGGCGCTCCTCTCGGAGCAGCCAGGTCAACTGTTAAGTTGGCCCATACCAACCCCCTCCCCTGAACCCTCCTCCCCACCGGAATATCAACATGTTCTCGCCAGAAGTTACAATTTCATTTAGGAAAGGAATGGAACCAGTGTTAAACAGAGGTGAACAGTGCTTAAGTCAGTGAGAACAACTCAACAGTAACAGTCGTACCCAAGTTAACCTTCACACAGTGAGGTCCCAGGTACCCAGTGATAACGGCCCGTGATAACCAGCGATGTGTTCATCCGTCTACGATAGGAAGGCCTGGGACCAAACCTCACTCATATAACACCATCTGTGAGGGAATTACTACACCACATGTCCCTCATAACACCATATGTGAGGGAATTACTACACCACGTCAAGTCCCTCATCACACCATCTGTGAGGGAATTACTACACCACGTGAGGACCCTCATAACACCATCTGTGAAGGAATTACTACACCACGTGAGGCCCCCTCATAACACCATCTGTGAGGGAATTACTACACCACGTCAGGTCCCTAATAACACCATCTGTGAGGGAATTACTACACCACGTGAGGACCCTCATAACACCATCTGTGAGGTAATTACACCACGTGAGGTCCCCCATAACACCATCTGTGAGAGAATTACAACACCACGTGGTCCCTTATAACACCATCTGCGAGGGAATTACTACACCACGTCAGGTCCCTCATAACACCATCTGAGGGAACCACTACATCACGTGAGGTCCCTCCTAACACCATCTGGGAGGGAGTTACTACACTACGTGTTTGCTGTTCAACACGTACAATCCTACATTAATCTGTATGTTCACTGTATGTTCCTTTACCTTTCTCTAATGAAGGCTTTTGTTAAACCACCAATGTATGTAATAAGTCATTTATGTCCAATGTATATTTTCAGCCTTCGGGCTGCAGAACTTTTTCAATAAACCGTTAATTATTATTATTATTATTATTATTATTACGTAATAGAACCTTAAGTACACCAATAGTCTATTTTTAATTAATATCTTCAGTACAGGTGCCAGTATATGCCATGTGGTATGGATTATATTCATTATAAGACCAAATATAAACTGAGTATATTGATTTATGATGACACGTGTCTCTACGTGCATTACCAGCCGCTGAGCCGGATGATCAAGAGGATGATGTAACAAATTCCATTTACCTGAGTCAGGTCCGGCTGGGAGATGGTTAAGTTTTTCAAGAGAGAGAGAGAGAGAGAGAGAGAGAGAGAGAGTCAAGTAACTCAACCAAACTGTACCTAAACCATTGATATCGAATCCTAAATAAACTTGATGTAATTCTACCCTAAGTTAACGTAACTTATAACACTACCAAATCTAAATCAACTTATACTACTTCGACCTCATCCTGCCTCATCCTGTTATTTCTCTATTCTGTCTCATTGCGTCACACCTCCATTTCAACCACCCGTATTGACCTCAGCTACTGTACCCCCCTCACCTCATCTGTACCCTCCCCCCTCACCTCTTCCTCCCCTCTGTCCATCCTTCCAAATCTTAGTTAATCTTACCTGCAGTTCTGGGATCACGCTTTTCCACGTGCCCGGTAAGGCTCAAGTCACGGTTTGTGTAAATGAGAAGTAATATGTTTATGACAGTGTAGTGCTGTATTTTAGGTTGTGTTTTATTGTGACCTGCTCTACCTTATAAGTCACAACATATTAATTACTATACATACACTTATAGAGTTGTCACCCATATCTACAGGGTATACTTCTGTGTCATACATGGGAATGAGTTGTAACTGAGGAACACTGTTTTTGTTTTTTTTTAAACGTGGCCTCCAGCTTCCCCCAATAGCCACACCTTCGCCACCATTTATTTACCTTAATATTAAATATTAAATAATATTAAATATCAGACTCACTATTACTACCACTTTTCTCATCTTCTCGCGCATCACCATTTATTGTTATGTCCCATCAGGTTATCTTAATTCCATGAACATTTCTATATTTATTTCTCAAATAAAAGCAATATTCTCAGTAAGCCTACGTGCTCAGGCATCGCCGATAACCCAAAGGATTAATCCAGGTCATGCTCAGGCACCTGCAGGTGGGATTACTGAGTGGTAAGGAGTAGGGAGGAGAATGAGAGGGGAGAGGTGTTCTAGAAGGAGTTAAAGGGGATGAGAGTGAGGAGGGAAGGGGAGGGAGTGATGGAATATTTACCATATACACGTGGCACTTGTGATGTTTACGGTCACCTGAAGGTGACTACCATGATCGAACTTACAGTAGGTACAGTTGGGGACTTTTCCGAGTGGTACATTCAACATTGTTAATTCACCCTCTCCGTGAGGTGTGAACCCCTGGAGTATCCAAGTGAGATATTCATCATATGAAAGCAAAAAGCAATTTTTTCGTGATCAGCAACCTCTGTTACCAGGGCCGGATTAAGGCCAATTGATGCCCTAAGCACAGCCCAACAATGGTGCCCCCTCGGCCCTCCCATTCCTTAACTGACAAGATATTAAGACCATGATTAAGACTCAATGAATACTGATGTTGAAATATGAGATAAAAAATTCAGGTTTCTTCCAGGCCATCCCACAAGCCAGATCCTACAATTGTTTTAAATACAAGCGGGTTTTATTTATTTTACACTAAGTAGCAGTAAGCAATATAAGCAAATTATCAACCTATAACCAGGATCCAGGGAAACAGATAAAATGCAAATTTTCATCGCTTTTTATTATTTTTTAAATAAATTTTTATAAGAATGAAAATTCAGATTCAAAATTTTAACATATTGCATGTGCATGGATTAAAATCGCCTACTAATGCTTATAAATTTACTTATCCTTTAAAAAAAATGCTCCTACTTTTTTAATTGCAAAGTCTTTGATCAAGTCCTCAAAACTAATCTGCCGTAACAAATCTGCTTCTATGCTCAGCAGAGACAAGGCATCCAACCTCCCTTGTCGCATAGGTGTTCTGTATGGATTTTTAATATACTTCAGCTGAGAAAACGAACGCTCAGCTGTGCAATTTGTGAGCATAAATGTTAAAAATATACGAAATGCAATTTCTAAATTTGGAAAAGCACATTCAAGTTTGTCTTCCAAAATTATTTTATAAAGTTCAGCGTGACAGTTTCAGTTGCACTGAACTTATGGCGCACATATGAGTGAAACTGCTGAAGCTCAGTAGAGAAATTAATGTCCACGTCCTCAATTAGCCTTTGAGAACACTGAACATACCTCTTAGTTTCAGTAGATGATGATACAACATTTGGTACATCACTTAGAAAAGAAAATCTGTCCGCTATTTCTGTGTACACCTTTCCTCTCCTTCTCACCTGGGTTTCGAGTTTGTCAATGTTACGAACCCCTCCACCCAGCACTACGAAGCACGCCATCTATTGTCCTGATCTACCTACCCAGCACCACGAGCAACGCCATCTAGGGACGAGACACGAGTATGACTCGTCTTAGTTAACACTCCGGGGTTTCCCTTCTCCATATCCTGGTTGTTGCGTCACCTCCTCAAAGTCTTCTTTGTCAGCTCCAATTCGAGGAGAGAGCACTTGGCTCTGGGAAGTGACCACAGGATCATCTATCCTCTAAACCTACGTGCAGTGACTACCTACCGTCTTCTACAATACTCAGCCTTACTCGTCAGCCATCTCAGCTCCTCACTTAAGTACTTGTATTTTGTATTAACTCCCCCACGTCCACTTGCTTCAAGATTGTTTATGTTGTATTAATATGTATATACTGTTAATGTTTAGGTTAAGTTTGGTTAAGGGTAATTTATAAGCTGAATATTTTGTTAAGGGATTTATGGTACTCTATTATATACAACGAAAACTCGCATCCTTTGTCTACCCTTTTATAGTCCGATTGTCTTTGTTTTTTTTATTGTTGTTACCTGTTGGGATCTGGGTAGACGTATAACTATATTCTAAATCCCCAACTCGTAACAGTCAACAATTGTGTAAAAGGTGGTGACACGAAATTTATCTCTGGGGTTCAGATTTACTTCTAATGCATATCCGTCATTGGGTACCTTCTTTCTGATACGCTTGCGAGTTTGCGCTGCATTATCATCTACATCTGGTAGGATTTCCTTCGGGAGTGATTCAAATCTGTCAAAATCATCTCGTAAAATGCAGAGTTGATCAGTTAATGGCGCATACAGATCTACACATGTTTTTAAGTTCACGTCCTCACTTTGTAGAACTTTACTTGCTCTATGAAACTTTTGCAAAATTTCATCCCAGATGATCAACATTAAAACAAATTCTAGCTCTTGCATCTTATTTACAATATTGTCTGCCTCTCTTCTAGTGTGATTCGTCTTCTGCTAGACTTTCTAAAGTTTCCAAAATCTTAAAGAAAGATTTAAGAATTGCTGCTGTTGCCACAGCATGTGCCTCCCATCTTGTATCAGAAAGGGATTTTAACACGCTTTCATTTCCAAGACTAACTTTAAGAATTTTCCACCGGCTGGTTGAGGCTGAAAAAATGTATAAAGCAACTGTACTGTTGAGAAAAAATTAACTGCCACTCGACAGCAGTCAACAGCACTTCGGCCTACCAGATTTAGTGACAGGGCTGCACATGGCACATATATGGCAAACTTATTTTCTTCTAAAAAATTGTTGCTGCATCACCCTATAACGCCCAGACATGTTAGCAGCATTTTACTAGGACTGACACCCTACATTTTGAAAAATTTTGTTTGCAAACATGACGTGAGTACTGCAACACCTTCCTCACCAGCATGGCTTCCTAGCTCTAGAAATGTTAAAAAGCGCTCAATAGGTTGCCCATCTTTTATGTATCGAAGTACAACACTTAACTGATCTATATGTCTCTTGCAAGTGTTTTCTTTAGTTCTAACTGCAATATATTATGCAACACTATAATAAAGTTCTTCAATAGCTTCAATTGTGTTTCACTTTATATTCAATACGTTCTCCAAGACCTTAGCCGCTGGAATAAAAGACAAAAACAGGCAATATTACTTATGTTTGTCCTGTGTATGACGAAAGAGAGTTAGCGATTACATCTATATTTAAATTACCGTATTGTAACGCTATAAAAACAGATGTAGGCTATAACCCAACTCATATTACAGGCAAGACGACTTAGTCCTTCAAGTGGAGTGTTACAGGTAAGGAGCATCACCAACGTGGGTGTACCGTAAACTATGAACTCGGTGTCACGAGTCATTAAAAAAAATTCTCGACTGTCCAAATGGCTTAACATGGAGACTGTATTACCATCAACTTATATTAAAATGAAAAACAAACAAACATAATTAAACCATCTTAATAAAATAATCAAATACTCTTAGATGATGAGCTGCGGGTTGGGTGGCTCGTCTTGGTCATTTCAATAAATCTGCGAGGTTGAAAATGAAAATTCGCTATATCACTGTTCCGACGCCGGATCCGTCATCTCCAAGAACAGTACCTTTAAATACCGAATACTCGTATTCATAATAAAAATCCCTGTACACCTTTAACTCAATGATGCTCTTATTGAAGACTTTTACAGGTTCTTCTTCCAGAAATCTTCCCCGAGCCATCGTTATTTCCATGGTAATAGTGACCATGGTGTATACACTAACCAATATTGCCTACTACGCTGTTTTGACGCCCGCTGAAATCCTGTCTTCCAATGCTGTGGCTGTGGTGAGTGTCTGCCCTGCCTCCACTGGGTGTGAGGTCCTCATGTGTTGGGTGACACGTATATCTTGTTCTTATCTCTTATTTATTTTTATTTTATTTTCCCCTTTGGGTCTTCCTTGGTCAATGGATAAATCATTACCACAATTCTCAAAATGAAATTAACGCCCTTAAATTTATAATGAATAACACGATCCCATTTACATACGTCCTATTGTTCTTGTGTAAGCTGCACATCACGGGATACTGAAGCTCTTGTCTATTACAGACCTTCGGTAACAGGATGCTGGGAGTATAAATATTAGTTGGCAACCGACCGCTATTGTAATGGTGACGAGTCAATATTACATGAAACAGCAGGGCTCAGTTGCAACAGAAAACAGTCGCGGCAGAGAAGCGTGAGTAACCGCCTGATCCAGAAAGCAGGGAGAACCCTTAACTCCAGGCCTGGTGAACGCATACCGAAGTAAGGTACAAGATAGCTGCCGAGTTGTGCGTGAAGTAATTAGCTATATTTGTACATGGAAACTTTCTGTGTGGATGTAAATAGTGTAATATTTGTTGTTGTTACACAGCGAGTTTTCATCGGCCTTTCATTTATTTCTCAAAAGTCCCGTATTAATTGACAATGGTACCCGGTCTTAAAGACCTTTTATTTAATTTTTGTCAAAGAGTTTCTTGAGTTTGCCCTTAACTATATATTTGTTTTGTTTTTTGTACATTGAAACAAGTTGAACAACTGCCAGTGTCACAATACTTAAGTATTAGAGCTACACTTAACCTGATGTAATCGAAATAGAAAAGAATATTTACGTTTCAGCCAAGAAAGATTTGTAAAGACTTGAGTTAAGTGCTACCTACCAACACGAAGACGGTGTTGATATAAGAAAAGCCTGGACACACTTCCCTCGATACTCGGCCACAACGCAAAACTACAATGGGGGATTCAACTAGAAAACTATGTAGTGCACTCGGTGCTAGTTCTGGCTGCAGTATCAGTAGACAGAACGTTACCACGGTGATGGACTCGTCAGGAGACCCTGGTCACCCCAGCGTCAGGACCACCACCTCCGGACCGTCCCCAGACACTGATGTGAATCTCAAGAAAGTGCTGGGACTGTGGGACGGTGTGGGTTTTATCGTGGGCACCATGATTGGGTCTGGCATCTTCGTGTCACCCAAGACGGTGGTGCAGTACACGGGCAGCGTGGGCATGTCGTTGGTGGTGTGGGTGGCCACGGGTTTCATGTCCATGGTGGGCGCTCTCTGCTACGCTGAGCTCGGTTAGTACCCGTCACTCGTTACTACTGACTAGAACAGCAGGGCCAACCAATCCAACTGAACCTTACTAATGATAACCAAAATAATGTATTAGTAATTAATTTGCACGTTAACATCGGTTGCTTTTTAATGTTGGCTTCGCGAATCATTTTCACGCTCGTTAAACAAGTTAGTTTTTGGTTTTGGGTTTAACTGTGTATCCATAAAAGTCCTTCAACAAATCACTCAAGAAAAATAACATGAAATCCCTGATCTAAAGCCCAGTTTTGGTAAAGTCGAAATTTATATAATAGTTATTCCTTGAGGGGGCATTAATGTTTGGTTTTCCTGAAGGACACCGAAAAAAATAATACCAAAAACTTTATGGGAGCGATATAGCTGTTCACATATCTCCTCTCTCCTCAATCTTTACCTCTTCATAGTTACTATTAAGTCTTGGTTTGTTATTTTTCCATGCTCCTGATTCTTTCTTATTAACATTATCTTTTTCATCTACTTATTATTTATTTATCCATCTCAATTCATATGTATAAAGAGAGTGTGAAAATATACTACCCAATTATTGAGAGTTGTAATTTTGTGTGAAATCCGACCTTGTGTTTCTTACTTGCAGGGCATGAGAAGTGTGCTACCCTTCCATCAACAACCGGCTTGTTTACCTGACTCAGTATGCACACACACATACACTGTACATCTTAAAGTGTTTCGCAGTACTCAATATCCAAATTCTCTGATGCTTCTACGAACAACTATCCTCATAATAGGAAGTGTATAACATCACCTCTTGCATAATAAGCATTTGACTACATCTCCTACTCAACTTCCTTTCCATCAATTCTCTTATATATTACCTAAGTTTTATATCAACAAATTATAATGTTTATGTAATGCAAAACTTAAGACTAAGACTCCTGTTCGTCCTTGCTTCAATCAACGCTCAGTAAAGCCATGGTTAATTGTGAGTTTGTTGTACTGTACAGGCACTACCATACCCAGGAGTGGATGCTCGTACACATACATCCTGGAGGCCTTCGGTCCAGTCCCAGCCTTCCTCTCGATGTGGGTAAACGTATTCATTTCCAAAACCTGCAGCCGAGCAATCGTCTGCATCACCTTCGCCAATTACCTCCTGCAGGCGTTTCTCCCAGAATGCTCATCACTCCCCTACTATGCTGTCAAATTCCTGGGCGCGGCCATGCTGTGTGAGTGTGATGAATTGCGATTGATGACACTATAATAATTTGTTATACTCTTACTTTAGCAATAGTACGTTCCTTTAGCCAGGGTAATCCATGGCTTACTTAACATGTACAAACAGCCTCGTCAATACATCAGATTTTATTTCACGTAATTATTAACAACATTATAGAACGTTAAACCAAAGTGTGGTTGTAGACAAGGTGTAACTCATGTGTGCTCATAGGAGTGTTTGAAAAGTTTGGTGACGCCTGATACTTCTAACTTCATATTGGAATAATAACTTCGTCTGCCAGCAAGTCAAAGTACAGTTAGTGTATTAAAAGATCGTTAAAGTCATATATCACACCTCGACAGAGATCAGCTGGTAAAAGCACAATTCCATTTAGGACCATTAAGGCCTAAAGAAACAATAGATTCACCCATTAACCAAACTTGCAGTATCTAACATCACTAATTTTTCTGAGGGAAGGAACTAAAATATACTCAGCAATCAGTGGCCGAAGCAAACTGGTCGTTTGATATCGTATCCAGTAATATTATAAGTCACACGCATACCGAAGGTAATCTGGTTCTTCATTATGAACAAGGTTCATTTATCACCAGGTCTGTTGGGTTATATCAACTGTATCGGCGTGAAACTTGGGAGCAGATTGCAGGACATTTTGGCCATAACAAAGGTGTGTTCTCTGACCCTCTACCGCTCTTGTTTCATACTATACTTGAACTAACAATTAATGTATTATATTATAGTTTCAAGTGTTCCAATATCTTCTGTGTCACTGTAAGGTGTTGGGCCTGATCATCATCATCATAGCCGGTGTTTACCACCTGGCCAGAGGTAACGTGAGCCACTTCCTCGACCCAATGGAAGGCACCATCTGGGACGTCTCATCCTTCGCCACCGCCTTCTACTCCACGCTCTTCACCTACAGTGGATGGTCAGTGGCGAGGAGTTTACTGTGGCTCAGCACAAAATATCACTAAGCTATCAAATACTGGTCAGTCCCGTTTACACCCAACACCTATCGCTCATATATCCGTCCAACCTAACTTTGAAGCTATCCAGCGTGTCCGAGGTTCCTAATGCCCGAATTCAAAGCTCCTAATGTACGAGGTCAGGGGTGAAGATGACTTGTCAACTTGATATGGTAATCCTTGCTACAGTACCACTACAGTCACAAGTGTTTGCCAAGTCTCTTTTCAGAAGGAAACTTACAAAAAATTTCGAATGTTTTCCTATACACCTTACTTATAAGTTTTCGCATCTTATATGAAGACATTTTTCTGCTTCTTGAACATGAACAACTAAGATATACGCAGTGCATCGCAGGCTGAAACACTGCAACACCAAACCTAACCTCCATTGCTCGAACTGAGATAATAGAGACTTTCTTTTCGTTTAATTATAACCAAGTGTATTTCAGTTTTATTTATGTACTTCACTGCTTCAAGGATGCATGTCCTGATCACTGGGTCTGACCTTTCAGGAGCAGCTTGAACTACGTGACGGGGGAACTGAAGGAACCTCACAAGTAAGTGACAGACGATGGTAAATATTGCATCTTTTATCAGCAACAAACTTCATAATTAATTGTTCTCCTCCAAACCAAATGTCTCTAGCAGTGTTTTATTTTAGTTCTAACTCCAATATATTATGCAACACTATCATAAAGTTCTTCCATAGTTTCAATTGTGTTTCACTTTATTTTCTATACGTTCTCCAAGACCTTAGCCGCTGGAATAAAAGACAAAAGCAGGCAATATTACTTATGTTTGTCCTGTGTATGACGAAAGAGAGTTAGCGATTACATCTATATTTAAATTACCGTATTGTAACGCTATAAAAACAGATGTAGGCTATAACCCAACTCATATTACAGGCAAGACGACTTAGTCCTTCAAGTGGAGTGTTACATGTAAGGAGCATCACCAACGTGGGTGTACCGTAAACTATGAACTCGGTGTCACGAGTCATTAAAAAAATTCTCGACTGTCCAAATGGCTTAACATGGAGACTGTATTACCATCAACTTATATTAAAATGAAAAAAACAAACAAACATAACTAAACCATCTTAATAAAATAATCAAATACTCTTAGATGATGAGCTGCGGGTTGGGTGGCTCGTCTTGGTCATTTCAATAAATCTGCGAGGTTGAAAATGAAAATTCGCTATATCACTGTTCCGACGCCGGATCCGTCATCTCCAAGAACAGTACCTTTAAATACCGAATACTCGTATTCATAATAAAAATCCCTGTACACCTTTAATTTAATGGTGATCTTATTGAAGACTTTTACAGGATCTTCTTCCAGAAATCTTCCCCGAGCCATCGTTATTTCCATGGTAATAGTGACCATGGTGTATACACTAACCAATATTGCCTACTACGCTGTTTTGACGCCCGCTGAAATCCTGTCTTCCAATGCTGTGGCTGTGGTGAGTGTCTGCCCTGCCTCCACTGGGTGTGAGGTCCTCATGTGTTGGGTGACACGTATATCTTGTTCTTATCTCTTATTTATTTTTATTTTATTTTCCCCTCAAAATGAAATTAACGCCCTTAAAATTATAATGAATACCACGATCTCCTTTACATACGTCCTCTTGTTCTTGTGTAAGCTGCACATCACGGGATACTGAAGCTCTTCTCTATTACAGACCTTCGGTAACAGGATGCTGGGAGTACTGTCATGGATTATCGCATTCTTTGTCGCCTGTTCCACTGCTGGAAACACCAATAGCGGTTTGTTTACCTTGCCTCGTATGATTCACACTGCAGCTCTAGAGGGTCAACTACCACACTTCCTCTCCTTCGTCCACGTTAGATACTACACTCCAATCACTGCTGTCATAGCCACGGTGTGTGATGGTTACTTATGTATATGGGAGAATTTTACGTGGTGATAGTGACGTTCTAACATCTGTATTTAATGTTTTATTTTAATCTTCTTTTTGTTAAATACTGTTTTGTTCCAGCTGGCAATATCATTCAAAAGAGTCAATTTGACCGTGAATACCACAAGAAGGTATAAAGAGCTTCGTAATACATGTTTAAGATCACTTAAATACTTTACCCTTCCCTACACGTTATGAGTCTTGTCACCAACTGTTATAGACAACCCTGCCACTGCTTGTACTGGCGATTGATGATATCGGAAAGCTCTTGACCTACACATCCTTCATCAACAACTTCATCGGCCTCCTCGGCGTTCTGAGTCTCTTGTGGCTCAGGTATAAGGAACCAGACAGACCCAGGCCATTCAAAGTGAGTCGTGGCCCACGCACAAAAATGTGTGTGTGTATGCGCATTGTGCAGTGTATATATATATATATATATATCGATTTACTGTCCTTCTGTGTCACACAGCTGAAACATACAGGTGTTTGTTTCTTGCCCTCTCAAGCATGTCTCTCCTCGCAGTTGTGGCTTGGCTTCCCATTATTGTACTTGGCACTGTGTGTTTTCGTGATGGTGTTCCCCGTCGTCACAAGACCACTGGAGATTGCCGTCGCTTTCGCTTTGGCCGTCGTTAGTCTGGTCGTCTACTTCTTCACCATTCATCTGCATTATAAACCCAGACTCCTCTCACTCATCATGGGTGAGTCTCCCTGTCCTTACTTATTACCGACCACTGAGTCTTGCTTCTTTTACTTCGCTGTTCACCATGACTAACAGCCCATTGCTCAAAAGTCTTTTGAATATTGTGATTGCCAAAGAGAACCATTTTTGGAGTAAATGAAGAAATGATATCAAGCAAATGACGATGTTAAAATCTAATCACCAAGGTTTCCTTTTACCATTAAATAAAAGTATTTGAGGCACACTGACTTAAGTATTGGAGAATACACGAAATATTTCAGATTACAATCATGTGTTTATGTTGTTTTGCAGATAAAGTGACATACGTCTCCCAGGTACTGTTACATTGTACGCCAGAGGAGAAGTGTCAGTAATACAAGAAATAACTAAGACAACAATGTGGCAGCAAGACACCAACAACTGCCATACATTGGTAACCAGGGATCAACCACTACGACACCGTGACTGTCAAGGGCAACGAGAAAATGACAGATGCAAAGATAAATTTATCATAATTAATCTTGTGATAATGGAGGGAAAATATGATGAAAAAACTATTACAGATTAGCTGAAGAAAGACCTTAACTACGTGGACGAGTTACACATAGTACGCAGGTGTATGTGCTCTATCCTGACCAGTCTTGACCTAACCTAACATCACTTATCTGGCGCCTTCGGGCCATTTCTGACCGCTTATACTGACATTTTTTTAACCTATTCTATTGTTTTTTCACTTATTCAGATCGATCCTGGTCTATATTGACCTATCCTGACCATACTTAACTTTTAAATTAATTTACGTACGTATTTTCGTCTCGGATTCTCAAGCCAAACGTCACCTAACCTTAGCTATTTTTACCTCTCCTCACAACCCATAACCATTTCCACAATACCTGGTACCTAACTTAATGGATAAAGACACAAATAAATAATGACATATGTGATTCAAATAACTCAATCATTATTTTATCACTTAATTTTCTAAAAATACGATACCAACGAAAATTAAAAAGTTAATACGGGATACAGAACTAAACTGAACTACGGTCGTCATGACCGCAGATGTCGTCGGCCAGTAAAACCAAACTTACCTACGTACAGTCCACGCCACTTATAAGCCGCACAGACTGGCGGCATCGAAATTCCTAACCGACAACTTCCGAGCGAGGGTGAATGTGTAGGGTAGACGACTCTCTACGGCCAGGAAGAAAGTAATTGAACCATCTCCTGCCCCAATATACATATAAAACATTAATAGAGAGAATAAAAGATGAGTGACCTACCAGCTCCACAAGAACCTGATAGGCCTCTCCATACAGTGTACCTTTAGACTAACATAACTAATATTTAACATTTAACATTTAACATTTAACATTGAACTAACATCTTAGTAAAAAAAAAAAAAAAAATGTGACTACCCTCCCAGCTACACAAGGACCTGGGCGGGCTCACTAACTCAAAAAAAAAATCAATATCAATAATTGAACCAAATAACATACATAATAAGCAGCATTATATAAATAAACCAATATTAATACAAAGGTCTGACGACCCAAGGGAGCAGAACAAAGACAAAACACCAATAAGAAAGATGAAGCGATCTGGTTGAGCCCAGATTCTTTCTACTCCTACTGTATTTCAGTTTCACCACTTTTTCTTCAATTCCTAATAATCTTCTTTCACCTCTTAACTAATGACTTCGTATCGTATCGAGACAGTTAAGTGGTCAAACATATGTTGACGTTCTTAATTATTTTTTCTTCCCTTCTCTTCGCGAGAGGAATTTTTTCTTCCCTCCCGACCCCCTCATATTACTTCAGGATCGCTCAACAGTACCAGTCATCTTAATTCTTTTGGTTGTAGCACTTGTGAGTATGTAACCCCCCAAGGAGCCTCGTCTTGTCAACAGATATTATGAGACCACATTCCACAGTCCTCCGAGCAAATACATCCAGCAAGGCTTGGAGCCTGAGCTTGGTCTGTGTCATAATGCAGATATCATCAGCATAGCATATTACAGCCTCGTTTGGCTGAACTGGAATGTCAGTAATAAGCTTGTGCATCATTACATTAAAGAGCATAGGATTTAACACTCCTCCCTTGGGCGTGCCAAGCTCAAACGATCTCATTCTGGTACTTTTGACTCCCCTAAACAGAACACTGGCATACCTGTTGGACAGATAACCCTTTATCCATGTCAGGAGGTTACCTTGGATGCCAAAATTAGCTAGTTGCTTAAGTATAATGTCTCTATTAGCTACATCAAAGGCTGATTTAAGGTATATGAAGGCTGTTTGTGTCTTATCTTTAGAGTGAACAAGATATTCAGCAAAACATGTCTGTGTGCTGCACCCGGGCATGAACCCATACAGATTAGGGACCAGTTTGTCTTTGACTTGAAACATGAGACGGTTGAGAACAACTCTTTCAAGGACTTTACACATACAGGATGTGAGTGAAATGGGCCTGAGGACTTCGATGTCCTCATTGACGGCGTGAGGGAAGGGGAGGGAGAGACATTCATATCGAGACCACAGGCGACCACAAAGACGGTGTAAGCCGGGAGTACGACTGACGTTCGCGTGAACGAGTAGGGACATTGCGTTGAGTCATTGATAAGGGAGGGACACAGATGTCCTCAAAGATGGAGGCGAAAAGCATAACGTTCTTTTAAAACTGTTGTGGGATGCGAAGGACTCCAGACTTAGCTGATGAATAAAACGATAATCAATGAACACGAAACCTTGGACGTACCTGAGATATGGTGTATTAATGTCCCTTGAAGAGCTGTTTAACTCACACTTACCTGGAAAAGAAAAAGGAAAAATCCAGTTGAGAATACCTGCCGTCTATCACACACACACACACCCACCTACTGTATATGATTATTCACACTTAACTTACAGGAACAACTAAAGCAGAACCATTGATCTTAACCCTTAGTTTATGCCAAATTAATGACTAACAGAACTTGTTCAATATGTCAAGAACACAACAGTAATGGTGTGGTGTTAGTAGTTACCTTGTGCTGGTGGTAGCGGAACCCCTGGCACTTGATGACATGTTACTTTGCTCCATTACAAACTTCACACTTTGCCATAGTTCAATACACTTTGCAACACTTTACTACATTAATGACACTTTTACGACTCTTTAAAACATTAATGGCACTTTGTGACACTTTACGACATAAATGGCACTTTACAACACTTTAGAGAGACTTCACAGCACCTTACGACACTTTTCGACACCGTATGACACTATTGTATGTTGCTTGGACACTTTATAACTATTTGAGATTTAATGACACTTTATTTAATTTTATGACGCTGAAATTACATGGATTTTTACGACACTTTAGAACACTGACACTTTAGTACAATTTGACACCTTAGGACATTTCAAGACACTTTAGGACACTTAATGGCATCTTCTGACACTTAATAGCACTTTTTCATTGTGCACCACATCTTACGACATTATACGAGACTTATTCGACATAATGGCACTTTATCAGACCTAATATACTGGCACTTAAAAATACTTTATTAAACTTTTGGATATTACATGAATCACTGTGACCTAACGTGACACTTTATGGCACTCTACCACCTTATTTTTTATCAGTCTCGCCACTTATCAGCTCAGTAGCCGTTCGGGCGATTGATTTATCCAGTGTTAGTTGAGGAGGAAACCGGGGACCGGAAAACCTGGTGTTTGGTAGTGAGGGTCACACTGGATAACACCCTTCTCACGTGTGTCCGGCCAAAGGATCGAACCCTTGACATGTTGGTGAGAGAAACGCGCGTTTCCATTGTACCACCAACACTACTTTATGACACTTTATACCACTCTTAAACACGTATGGATGTTTTTGGCTCCCACAATTACTTTGCGACACTTTTTAAGTATTCATGATACAAACACATCAAATCAATAATAAAACTTCACAACAAAAACACTTTACAACACTTATAAGCACTTTACTTGCGAACACGTTCTGAGACTTCAGATCCCTTCACAGTATTTATGAAAATTTTATGGCACTTAAAATCACTTTTTAAAATTTAAGACCGCTTTGAGACACTATAAACACTTTGTGACACTTGAAAATACTTCATGACACTTACAAATACTTTAATACACTGGCAGTCCTCGTCAATTTCAGTCTCTTCACCTCACCGACAGCTTGTTTCTCAAAAGCCCTCGTGTACATCCTTACCGGAATAAGGCAGAGACAGCACTGCGGTCTTGTCATGTTGAAGACCCATTTGTTGACATTCGCATCAATCCCAAACTGCGAAGCAAAATAGATTCAAGATTTGAGCGAACCGACCAAACCTCTTCTCAGTGCTATCATTGACTGAGTTTGGTCGTGTTTGCTCATTCGTCTCCACACATGTAGTTTTAGAGATCTTTGTTTTTATTTGTTTTAATTATAAAGTATAAGGTAATGTATTACACAAGATTATATGCCAATACCTTAGTTCGTATAATGGCTCGTTTTTGGATGATCGAGTCTGATGTATCGAAAAGCTGTTTCTGAACCCTCGACACACTTACGTCATCGATGTCTCAACTGGTGACAACAAGTATTCACAATTGTTTATATTGTGTATCTCGCTATATTTACTTAGTAAAAACAAGCAAACAAACAAACAAACAAACGGTAAACAAGGAAATAATATAAATCTGTGTTAAACATAATAAAATAACGATGGAACACATTTTGAATTATTTTCTTATTCCGAAATTCAGCTTGTTGAGAGCGGTTGTATGTACCGAGAATCAGGGCCGGATTCAGGAGTGGGCAAAGTGGGCAGCTGCCCAGGGGCCTCCACAGTCTGGGGGCCTCCACATGTGCGGTAGTAGCTATATCAGGGCTGGTCGACTTGAAACCACATGAATGACTCCAGTCATTTCTCACTTTTGTGTGTGTGTGTGTGTGTGTTGGGAATTTGTACACTATCAATAAATATACAGTTAATTAAAAATTTCTCAGTGTTCTAATTTCCTCAATATACTGCATATGGCTTCAAAATTCTCCAAAGAAGTGTTCACATTTCAAAATTTTCCCGGGGGGCTTACTTCTTATCAGTTTTCACAAAAAGAAATTCACGAGGAAATGCCAGAGGTGGAACTGATATTTAGGGGAATGAAGAAGAGGAATAAAAGAATATCACTATCAGAAAAGAGGATGTTCTTAAGAATATAAATAAATTAAAGAAGACAAAATCCCCAGGGCAGGTTGAAATTTTCCCTCGAGTTTTGAAAGAGTAAGGAACAGATTATCTAAAAGTGTTAGTAACAAGAGTGCGGAGGTCATATTGCAACTATATCTTGCGCTAGTCAGGTTGCACCTAGATTATGCTGTTCAGTTCTGGTGCCCTTATTATAGAATGGATTTCAATTCACTGGAGTAGGTGCAGCGAAGAATGACGAAAATGGTTCCGGGACTTAGAAACCTTCCATATCAAGATAGGTTAAAGAAACTAAACTTGCATTCTTTAGAAAGACGAAGAGTGCGGGGAGATATGATAGAAGTATTTAAGTGGGTGAAAGGAATCAATAAAGGAGATATAGATGAAGTTCTTATAATATCCGAGCAGGATAGGACTCGGAGCAACGGATTTAAGTTGGATAAGTTTAGGTTTAGGAGGGAGATAGGAAGAAACTGGTTCACAAATAGGGTGGTGGACGAGTGGAACAAGCTTAGCAGCTTTTTAGCAAGTGTTGGAACGCTGGAAAGTTTTAAAAGGAGGCTAGATAGATTCATGGATGATAGAGAGTGGTAGTAACTCTCGACAGGAGCTGCCATGCATAGGCCAACCGGCCTATTGCAGACTCCCTATTTTCTTATGTTCTTATGACTGTTTGTCTCTGAAAAAAATTATAATATAATTTATCAGTGTTTAAGTAATTTACACGAGGATAAAGCCATAACCCCAATTTTTATGTATTTTTATTTACATTAGGATGTCTTAGGGTGTCTTGACATGGAATATAATGTAAATAAACTAGATACAACAACAGTATGTAACACTTAATGAACACAACAAAATGCGTTCTTATCATTATCTAACTCAGTGAGAAGTTTGACGTGTTTACTGTCATTAGGTTTATGTTTTCTGTTCCTTTGTTACAAGAATATTAAACAGAGACCGAATATTTAACACGGAAACATTCACAATCACGTCAGTTTGGTCAACTTGGGAAAATCAAATTAGGAATATATTTTTGTCTTTTTTTGCTTTTTAAATTGGGTTTGATTTCCAAAAAATAATATTATATAATCTTAACAGTAGTTATATACAGTATATAATTACATATCACAAAAATAATACGTCTCCTTGTCACTTAAAGCCAACCTAAATACAACAGATAACCCACGCTGTGACATAGCCACAGGTAAGTCGTCCAGGTGAGGTGAGAAGGTACCCAAAGGACCTCAAGACATCAGGCGAGTACAAAATAATTATATAGCAATTAAACATTAACGTCACGGAACTGACTCTTATTACTCTTGAGAACCTAATTATACAACCCTTAGCTGATAACATATTTATATGTTCAAGATAAGTACCTATATCCTATACCAATATACCCATATACAGTATAGTCTTATTTGCAACAACCAGTGACAAGACTCTACCTACAGTTGTCATAAGGCGTAGGTTCTGAGTACGCTAGTTCGAAACCACGCCACACACACACACACACACACACACACACACACACGTCAGAGTCAACCCGGATTGTAATATCAATATTGAATTCGCTACTTAATAATTATGTTGATGGTGGCTATCCTGTCAGATGTGTTACAGGGAGGTGATACCTTCTGTGCATATCGTTATTCTAAGGGGACTCTGACTCAGACTTCGACACGAGACTGTTTAATCAATCAACATGCTTTTCTTGCTTCTCTTGTCTCATCTTTTGGCATCGTTTTGAATCCATGTGAAGAGTGTGTGACTGGCAGGCAGACATTTAGTCTTGCTTCTCCTCCGGAAGTCCGTGGCACAGCAGCTGGCAGACGGAAGTGACGTTCCCTACGACACACAAGCAAGATTATCTCACGGTACATTCATATAACACCGCCACTAGTATTTCTCAAGACACACTAAACCGAAGTATAGTTACCCATGAACGCAGATAACTTCTCGGACTTCGACGCCTGATGAACACACAGGAAGTAGATGGGGATGCCAGTCAGGAAGACCCCGATCGCCACGCCCAGCTCCACGGGTCTCTCGATGATGGGAAACACCACTAGAAACACACACACCAGGAAGAATAACAGGACTACCCATAGCCATACCTGTAGAAAGAGGAGGAATGAGGTACTGCTGGAAATTATGATGTTTAATACTGCAAAAGATGTTGGAGGTCTTGGCTATCTGGATGCCTCACACGCACACACAAGCGCGCACACACACACACACACACACACACACATACACATACACGCGCGCGCACACACTTTTACCATGACAACTCACCTTGATGGGTCTGTGGCGGTCAGGTTGGCGGTAGCGTAACCAGAGAAGCGATGCGATGGACATAAGGACGAAAAGCGACTCAGAGAAGCTAACATAGTTGATGAGTGATAGCGTGTCCGACGTGACCAGCATACACAGTGTCATGAACCCCTGGGGAATGTATGCACTGTCATACAAGGTTATACACAGAGACAATTAGTAATACATGATCATACACGATGTCATGAACAACTGTCGGGGTATACAACAAGCAGCAATATAGTCATGAATAGTGATAAGTTAAACACATGGGTTGTTTACATATATCTTTTGAAGTTACAAAAGTCCCTTGCACCAATAAACAACAAAATATATCACTCCAAAATGTCTAGATCTAGGGTTAGGTTAGGTTAGGTAGAAACAAGCACAAAAGTGGTTCATTAAGACAAATAAATGCCAAGGTAAAAATTTACTCATTAATTCAAATATTGCCGCGAAATATGACTCACAAGGAAGATGAGGGCTGGCATGGGCGTGAACGTTTTGACGTTGATAAGAGCTAAGGCCTGCGGTAGATGTCCCTCACGAGCACCCACGAAGAAGAGCCTTGAACAAGCGAATATGCAACCATTGAGACTTCCAAAAGTTGATAGAGCGACAAATACAGGCATCACATAACTCACCATGCCCAGCATACGACCAGCGAACGACTGAGAAGAAACAAAGTGTTGATATATGAAAAAATAAAAAACATCTCTTGCTGATAAATATATTCTCTCTCAACAGTAACCAGACCTTATCGACGCTAAACATACCTCATTGACTTTACACTCACCAAGGCCACAGCGTTCGAGGACATAATTTCATCTGGATCGAGGACGGAGAAGTAGGCCATATTAGTGAGGAAGTAGATAATAGTCACTATGGGCATCGAGATGAGAATGGCTCGAGGCAAAGTCCTGAATGAAAGAAATTGGAACAATTGTGTTTATTTGCGTTAGTAAATATGGCGTGGTCTCCCCTTCATGACGACTCACGAGCATAGAAAATGGTGTTATGGGTAAAAACAAAGTTCCGATTTATCACACTCAAACTTACTTAAAGGGATCCTTCAGCTCCTCCACCACAAAGTTGAGACTATTCCTGAAAAAAATTCAATATGGCATCAAAAAACACAAAATCAATTTAACAAATATATGAAATCAGTGATCACCATTAAGTTGCATTTCACATCTGGCTAATCAAACCTTCAACTGACCATCCGGAAAAAGAGAACAGGCCCTGATAGAAAGCAGTGGATATGGAAGTAGTGCTCCAATTAGTCCTCTGGAAGGCGTTTTGGAAGTTCTCTGTGTTCCCCGTGGCCAGGTGGTAGACGCCGGCACCAATGATCAACAATAAAGCGAAGATCTTGGCTGCTGTAAACACACCTTGTACATTGGTCGCCCACTTCACGTTGGTGCAGTTCACCCATGTCAGGACACCTTGAAAATAAGATCCTGTTGAGATATTTCCAATTCTTTCTTGTCTATCTGTCTACCTCTATCTGTTCATCTGTCTATCTGTCTTCCATGTTTTTCTGTTTCGTCTTTTATCAAGGAAGAGATACAAAACAGAAAATATTCAAAGTACTGTTTTAAATTGGATGGGGTTCGTAAATTAAATGAAGTTCCTTTCTCCAGATATTTCAAAAGCTTTTAGAATACATCGTTCCTCATTACGGCTCATTGCAAAGGGGAAATATAGAAACACATTTATACTGTATTTAATTTTAGTAACTCTCTCTCTTCTCTCTTACATACCACCCACCCTTACTATCTATAGCTACGCCGCACCACACTCAATTACATTACCAAAGGTCAACGGAGAGTATCCGTGTACTGTTATCAGGACATTTGGGGGAGGAGTCACAATCCTTTTGGTCCAGCGGGTTATTTAAGGATATCAGTTTGACTCATATTTCCCTGGTAGTGATGATTTTTGTACTAATTATATTATTATTATTATTATTATTATTATTAGTTAAATACTGAGCCAGATTTTAGCAATAGCTTTGATTTTAGGCTTAAATATCATTTTTATTTCGATAGAGTTGAGTTAAGATTCAAAGTCAGATTGAGGTAATAAGAATGATGATTTCGGATTGGCCAGATTGTGTTATATTAGGTGGTGATCTTAGCAACAGATTTCGATTTTTATCAACAGCTGGTTATGATTTCAAGAGGTATGAATATTAATAGCAAACGCTGTCGATTTTACAAGTAGGTCAGATTTGTATTACTCTTAGTACTGATTTTCGGATCAAAACAGATTTCTGCGACATTGAATTTCTCGGCAAAGGTAGAGGTATGCCGGAGTGAAAGAATAGATTCAATAGACAAAAGATAGAGACTAGTGTTTATATGTTCATCTTCATCCTAACTCACAAACGAAACCATTTCATTTCCTCACCGTCTCTCACATGTTCCCCTTTCCTCCCACCTCCCTAACTCACAAACAACCACAGCAGCGAGGAGCTTGACGGGGACATCTGGGAGGACGTTACAGGTGTCGAAGGCGGGCTTGATGATGTAGTTGGCGAAGGTGAGAGCCATGACGGTGTTACTGGTTGGCAGGATGATCACCAGCGCCATCCACATATACAGGAACGCTGGAAGAGACCCGAAACCCTCCATGATGTAAGCGTAGTCCCCGCCACTCCTCGGGATCATCGTGCCTGCGAGGGGAAGGAGGAGAAGGTTTAGTTTTGACGAGTTAAGAAAACGAAGAGGAAGACAGACAGACAAATATAGAAGATGGAGGTTTACCCAACTCGACAACACAGGCAGATTTGTGAAGTGATATAAGCATAAACTGAAACGGAGTCGGGAAGTGTGAGAGGAGGAGGGAAAATCTTACCCAGTTCGCAGTAGCAGAGGGCGCCCACCGTAGACAAGAGCCCTGACATTCCCCAGACCACCAGAGACATGCCCACGCTACCAGTGAACTGGACGACACCCTTGGGAGAGACGAAGATACCCGAGCCGATGATGATGCCAACGATGATGCCCACACCGTCCATCAGCCCCAACTCCTTCTTCAGCTGCAAGTTTTCCTCGGTGGAGCTCTCCACGGAGGTGGTTATCCCTCCGCTTTCTGTGAACTCTACTTCAGGTTCATGGTCCTTGGGTGCAGTGGGGCTGATGCTGTTGATGCTGTTGATGCTGGTGGTGCTGGTGCTTGTGCTGGTGGCAATGGTCACCATGGTGAAGGGGGCACCAATGCCTATGACGCACCAGGTACCACAGCAAAATCCTTGTTGACGCTGTTGTGACCTTGTCGAAGCGTCTGGCTTATCCAAGAGTTATTTATTCACAATATGTAAACTGAGCGAGGAACTGTACTGCTCACTCTTATCTTAATCGAGAACGACAACAATATGCCTCCAGCAATTTCTTAACTGGCATGTATGGCTGGTCACTAACGGGACCCTGATTTGTTGGTTCTCAGTCTCGTAGTTCATACACAGTTTCTTGCTTAAACTTTAATACATGTCAATGGGATCCTTTTGGCTTAAGGGTCGCATCTATATCGCTCAAAGCATCACAGTATTTAATATATTACACGGGCATGCGTCACTAATAAACTGCGCGTACTCGTAAATAATACTGAAAATAGACAAGACTTTCAAGATCACTAATTCTTCCTAAAAGATGGTTAACGGCAGGCGTTTTACCTTAGCCAGGCGACGCGACGCCAAGGTTAAGCAAACACACCGACCCACTGCACCGTCACCACCAGCACAGACTCCTGCTAACACACTTACTTCACTGACTGACCACACGACGAGAAGTTGCACTGGCGAGTGTTTACACACTTATACAATCGGTTATTCCTTTTAGTTGGTGCAGCATAACATCCGTGTCTTCCTCCAGCTTCTAACGATCAGTCAACACTATAAGAAATCAGAAGGTGTTCTCTTTATTTAACCTTTCCAAACAATTTCCAAAGTATCACCACATCTCCACCTGATCCTCCGTAGAAATACTCAATCAAAACAAAAGGTAGTTTAAAAACTTGTATTCTTACACTTTCCACGCTTAATTTATACAGCCATTTGTATTGCGCATAAAAATCTTCGTCCTTGATATATACAAATACACACACAGACAAAAATACACTTCGGTACTAATCTATCGGTGAAATACCCCCACCATCACAGCACCCGCCCCACCACAACACCCTTACATCAAGGAACTGGGGACGCCAGACCAGACGAGTCTCCAGCCGCCACGCCGTCCAGACAACCGACCTTGCACTGACTGCTACACTCCCCCAAAGTACCCCACCCCCCCCACACACACAAAATATTCCTCCCTACCCCTCCCCTTCTCCTCCTTCCTTTAACCTTCCAGTGCTACCCCTCCTCCCACTTCTGAATCATCAGGTGCTCCCATAGAAAAATTAATATGGTAAGGAGAACAACAACAATAATAATAATAATAATACTAATAAAGCCGTGTGTGTGTGTGTGTGTGTGTGTGTGTGTCGCCGTTGGGAGGTTAGTTTTAGTTTAACAAATTTATTGACACAGCTTTGAGTACAGTTTGCTTATTCTGAGTAATTCAGAAAAGGCAAACTGTACTCCAAGCTTTGTCAATAAATTGGGAGAGGCAGGGGCACACTGGTAAGAGATACAACAAGATCGGTCACGGTGGCAGTTGGTCATGATGCTGTCAAACACAACGGAGTATCTGTCTTATTGGTAACGAGAGCTTTGTATGCTGCACAGTGGGCTTAAAGATACAAAACACACTGGTTTTATTATTATTATTATCTTAAAATATAAATAACAACCAGTGAATAGTTTGCCAATTCTCCATGTAGATAAAAGTAGGGCGCGGAAAACACTGAAGATGATTAAACTATATCCCTCTTTCATTTGAAAATTGAGATGATTTTTTACCCAAATATTATCTGCAACAGTGCAACAATTCTCCTATAGACGAAGTATCTTTCATGGCACCTTACCTAGCAGTATCCCCCATGGTACCCTCAATGACACTTTCTCTCATGATATCTAAAGTGACTATTTCTCTTACAATATCCACTTTCTTTCTATCCCTCACCTCCCTCTTACCTTACTTAATTTCTGAGGTTAATTTCCGAGTCTGGTTTGGTATACCTCCCGGCTCGCTGCTGTCAGATTACCTAACCATCTCCCACAGCTTTTTTTTATCCCCCATCTCTCCCTACACTAGCCACCCTATCCTTTCGATCTACTCTCCATACTTCCCTCCCTTCTCCTCCTACTCTCCATCCTCCCCCTTTTCTCTTTATCTCGTACTTCCCCATACAGTTCTTCATCTTTTTCTCATCTCTTCTCATTCTCCTCTTCCGTTTTATCCCATCCTCCCCCCCTCCCTCATATCCTTCTTCTCCCTTCCCTCCTATCCCTCCCTCCTTCATCCCCGCTGAAGGTCATTGGAATCGTTGGGGGTTACGCCACCGCCACGCTTGTGTTGCGGCATTTGTTTTTGACACGAATCTCTACTCCCCCTACAAGTTCTCTTGTCCTGAGTTAAAAGGCGGTAAGCTTTATGAACAAATATTTAAGTAACAGAATCTAAGGCACAGTAATACACAGAGCTTGATTGTGTTAAGAATTAGCTCGGAATTATCAACCTGAAGGACGCCGATTGCCTGCTTACACATGTATCAGTCTACAGTATGTATGGTGGTGAAGGAGAGAGGAAGAAGAGGAAGGGACGTATGAGGCCTTTTAGTTGGGGGAAGAAATGGTAAAGATAAAGAGGGAGTAGGAAGGGTTTAGGGAGGTACTTTCTGTGGGGGTGGCGTTTTAATTTGGCTGCGGCGACTTTGGCTTTATTTAAGGATAGACTAAATAAAGCCAAAATCGCCGCAGCCAAATTAAAACGTTTTAAACTGATGCCTGAGAAGATACAAGTTCACCTGTACAAGGCGCTGGTGAGGCCTGTGTTGGAGTACCCACATATACCACTCGTCACACTCGGGGAGACTAGACTACAACAACTACAGAGCTTCCAAAACAAGTGTTTGAGATCAGCCAGTGGCCAAGCGCCACCCTACCAGGAGACAGTGGAAACCATCCACCTAAGAAATAAAACAGAGGCCCTCAACGTCAGGTTCCATCGCCTAGGGAAGAAGGTTTGGGACAAGTTCCTGGACGACCCTCACAGCCCAGACCACCTACGCGGGGAAGACATCAACGGAGGGCGACCCCACGCCTGGTGGCCCGAGAGACTGCCAGCACTACAACAACCCAACCCGCGACCCATCTATGTCCGCCACAGTGATCCACCTTAGATTAAAACTTAGATGATATAAATTCACATTCAACAAGTCACAATCTAGCGAGTCCATAACTTAATACAGTATAAGATTTTAATAAACTTGTAATTGTAAAATCAATCTAGTCATTGTCTACTAAAATAACCATTGTGCAAACTCAACCTAAATCCTAGGTTAGCTTAGTTAACCAACAAACTCTGCAATATGAAAACAAGGGGTGTCGTCCCCCTCTGTTTAACTCATTAAACTTCTTTTCCAACATCTGCCCCCACGACTATGTGTTGTGACTTCTCTATCCCTCATGTCTAGCTGTGCCTTGACCCCCAGCATGCCTTCCTTCCATTCCCCACCTTAACCTAAAAAAAAAAAAAAATCACTTCCCACTGCCACGCAGGACAGAGGTTCATACACAGAGAAATACATCATATTCATTAACAGTATATATACTGTAGGTCATAGTCATGTGGGGGATGTCACTGTCCACTGCCATGCAGGACAGAGGTTCGTACACAAAGAAATACATCATATTCATTAGCAATATATATAGGTCAGAGTCATGTGGGTGATGTCACTGTTCACTGCCATGCAGGACAGTGGTTCATATACAATGGACGTCATATTCTAATTGAAGACTAATCAGTGTGGATCTAGCAAATTTGGAATAAACAGTAAGAATGTCCTCAAGCATCCCCGATTCAATGTAGTAATCACAAAGTTCATGATACAATAAGTCAGGTGGCCTGAAGTCTTTGACAAAGTCACATTCAATAATATAGTGTTCAAGTGTATGCTTTAAATGTTTATCACAAAGTTTACATGCCGAGTGTTCCGGTAGTACAGCGTGTTACGCCGTCTCTTAATTTACTTAAATATCCAGGTTCTAGGCGTAACCAAACTAAAATGTGAAGTAAATTAAAAGGGAATAAAAATAAATAAAGTAAACCTTTAAGAATTTAATTAATTAAATATTAACAATAACGAACCTCGTAGGCTGTCACAACAAATTGATTCACCATCGAAACTTTTAAGACAAATGATACAAAACATCGAAACCTCAAAAGAATAAAAATAAAGCATTGGATTACGTTAACACTGCATAAACATATAAAAACTAACACTGAAATTAACTAACGTGAAACAACACTGAATTACTTAAATGTAACTAAGCAAATACTGATGGACATAAATAGAGACATAAATAGGTACTCACATAGATATACCACATTGGTGGCGACAGGAACAACACAAATAAATTAAGTATAAGAAACAGGTGACGAGTGTCACTCAAAGGATGTGAACTGTATGACAAGAGGACTGAACTAACTCCGTCAGTTGGTGGGTCCTATATATAAGGTCGGCACCCGCCACGCGACCCACCGGTGGGTCGTTTAACGATGCAGATGGTCGTTAGAGAACAAAGAATACTTGTTACAATACTAAATACAGAAATAAGATGGGCTTGAACAAATAATGACAGTTAAAACCTTAACAGCACAGGGTAAGGTGACTAGAATATATAATAGTAAATTTAACACATCATTACAGGAATAATATGGAACAACATGGGAGCATGTTATATATAAAAAAAATAGAAAAATACGACACGGTCGTAACAAGCGTTACTAACTTGCCAGATGTGTCTGTATCCTAGCCTAATTCTGGCCGCGACTACATCACATTGTCTGGTTCTGTCCTTATGCTGGCCATACCGGTATCTCTTGTAACAAAATTGTTCATATTTACTAATGCTACAACTGCCAGGTCTCTCTGCATCTCAGTTCTTCTAGATCAGAATTCATGATTCTGACTTGAATGTTTTTAAGTACAGCATTGGACAGACCAAGGTCACTGTCAACATTTTCTTTCTTACATGCCTCATTGGCGAGTCTATCAGCACGGTCATGATACCTAATTCCAACATGGGACGAAACCCACACAAATTCGATAGGAGAGTTGTTTTCATTGGCAGTTATCACATTTCTGTTAATATCACATACAACTCTAGACATAGAACCTGACGGGCTGTTCATTGATTTCAAAGCACTTTGAGAGTCACAGAATATCACCCCACCTCCATTTTCTTTAAGGTAGCCTGTAGCTAAGTAAATTCCAGTTAGTTCAGTTTGTGTTGTGCTGGCCCATTTGTTCAGCAAGGTAGGGATGGTTTTAGGGAGGTAAGGAGGGGATTAAGGGAAGGTATAGGCCTACAGTAAGAGGGAAAGAGAAACAGAGGCACTGAGAAGGGAATGAGGGAAGTAGTTGAGTAGAGTAAGGGGGGAGGGAATCAGGGAAGTACGAAGAGGGATAAGACTAAAATTAAGGGGCAGAAAATTAGTCAGGGTAAACAAAGGAGAAGAGAAGAAGCCACAGAGAAATAAATAAATGTTAAATGAAATGAAAATTAATCGATTTGGTAGAAGAGAGAGGCACAGGAGCTAATCAAGAAGATAAAAAAGGGAAGAAGTTTAATTACATTTGAAAGAAGACGGAAAAAAGATGATAAGAGAATAATGGTGATAATCATGTAATAAAGCAGTAGAGATGGAGTCAAGCGTGGAAACGGAAGGGGCTGGGAAGAAGAGATATCAAAGGTAGAAGAAGGGGAAGGATAATAATAGGAGGAAAAGGAGGAAGGACACCATTAAACGGAGGGAGGAAAGAGAGACAAAAGAGAGGGTGGGAGGAGTGGTTGAGTCAACACAACACCCTCCCACCCTACCCGTCCCAAAGAACTGGTTTGTACGGGCGAGTTATTTTCGTCTTGTCTGTGGACCGCGAGGTGATCCAGGCGACCAGGGTACCATGTGGGGCAATCTTCTACGCATTCCATCATCTGCCCCAGATATAGTAAGAGTTGTCACTTGGGTTGTATATCAAGGACATTGATATTTAATAGTTAGATTAATAGC